GAGAAAGCGAATATCACCTTTCCAATCCATTCGCTGAACGTATGGAGTCTCTGTGTTCCGCTGTCGTTTGTATTACTTGGTACGTACTTTCTCTTATCACGTTACTTACTCTCCCCAAATATAAGTTTGATGCATACGATCTCTGTGCTCCTGTAGGTCGTGATTATAGACCGTATCCATCTTTATACCGAGTGTAAGCCTGGAAACTCGCAACGCAACAGCTCTTTTCAAATTCCATATGATAGCGCCTTCCCTATTAGACAGAAACCATGAATATTCGAGTTATACCAACGCGTCACTTACGCCGCTGCCTTCTTCCTTATATCATGAAAGAGGGAAAGTTAGTGCTTCAACTGCAGAATTTGGGCGCTTGGTACGTACGATGGTTGATCCACAACAATCACTTCGGTCCCTAAAGGGCGAAACTCGTCGGTTATCCTCGTCCGGAGATGAGGAGATTCTCCAAAACCTCCAACCAGGAGCAAATGCTAAAATATTAATGAGATAATTAAATAGGATATAAAAATATGATACACGAACACGAGTCCTTTGGTTCCCAAGGATCTTCATGCAGCTCTGGACTGTCCTTGCAATTGACTCCTCGAATGTACTTGATATCTCCTCATTAGTTAAGGTAAGCTTTCCCTTAAGGATACTGTGTTCACGATCATTATCGCTATTCCTGCCAAAGTGAATAATGTTAGAGGGGAGAGAGCCACCAAAGAGTCGTTTGGTCTGAGAGGGCGCAGGACCTTGTTAGCACGAGACTGTATTTTAGTGAGGTTGTGTTACCTTTTGCTCGAATATACTTGTCATCTCGCTGATTATTTCCTCAGAGTTGTACTTGGCCGAAGTGGTGAGCTTTCTCTCCAATAGTTTTCTTGCCGCGCGATCCACAAATACACCACCGACCTAGGAAAGGAGCTTCAGAAGCAATTAATTGGATGGATTTATGGATGGGGCATACCTGAATACATTCGCTTCGGTGGACTTCCTTTAGCTTCAAAGGCGCTATAGAGCTACATTCGTAAAAGTTGCTGTCGATGGTCGACCCACCCGCATCTACGACCAGGAATTTCTCTCCACGTTTTAGCCATGAATTGGAGGGAGTATACGCAAGTGCATAATGAACGGATGCCTCTCCTTCCGTGACAAAGCTCACTCGAGTACTTGCTTCTTCATTCTTCAACATACACGCTTGGACAGCGCAAGTAGTAAGAAACCCCTGTTGCGAGACATCCCATCCATTTGGATGACAAAATATGAACATGGTCTTTGACTGCAAGCGGTTCCAGATATTGTCGCCGTTAGGAGTTGAACCAATGAAAAACTCGCGAGTGTGTTCATATAGATACTTCATATAGTCGGTATACACTTGATAGAGATTGACACTTGTTGGCAATGGTGGGATTTCAATTTGTGGCATCACATCTGTCGTAGAGCCAAATGGAGGTGGCAAATCTGATTCTTTCATAGAGCTCGGATGCAGGTGCAACTTTCGAGAATCAGGAGTTAGTTCAAATTTGACGTTGATAATAACGTGCCTACCTTGAACCACTGGGCCATTTCATAATCATCATCACCGATATATCCCGCCGCTTCTACTCCAAAAAACTGCGGGGTGCCATTTTGATATGCGACTAGTGTTGGAATCTAAGATAAAGTCACATTTGAGTTTCTTGACCTATCCGTAAACCACCAGAGTCTGCCCTACCTTTGCATCGCCGGTGGAATTCTCTTGTCCTGGCCATTTGGTCACCTGAAAAATCATAGTTCAGTACCAGATAATATTTTTACGACGGGTTCTCATACCAAGCGGACAATAGGGTGATCATCTGGACTCAGATGAGAGAACGAAACCGCACCTAGAAGAAGCAAAGGGGTTATTGGTCAGAATATAATGTCCATCGAGGATTATGGCGTACTTTGAGTCGTCCCAATATCCATAGAGATAATAATCTTCTCTTCTCCTTCATATGGCTTCTCGCTTCGATAAGACCCGGCCATTGTGAATGAATACCGAAGCTCCTTTGCCTCCTAGATGATCGAAAAGAATGAGAAGAGCGATCTGAGTCCTTTCTTCCTCCTCAAGAGGACCGCCGTGCGTAGCCAGTATGCAAGTCCAGTTATGGTCGGTTGCTACGGGCATCGACCACTTGCCGGGCCGGTGATATGTATAGAAGCTTCGCCCAGTAATCATTTCTCAATAGAACATTCATGACGAAGATTAGAGAATACCATTTGGGAAAAGATGATAGAGACTTCATTATGAATTTCGTCTATAGATCGACATTATGTACCATTACAGAGTACCAAATTTACCAGAATGACACGAGAGATGAAAGAAAAGTGTTTGGAAATATTTCCAGCGGGAGGCATAGCTCGCCGTCATGTACAATAAAACTTACGAATCTCCACAATCTGGTATCGTAATGTCCTTGAGATTTCCATCATAGTCGAATAAACCCCAATGTTGCTCTACTCCTCCATACATGGCCTTCCACGGCTCGTCGTACGCTTCAAACCAAAAGTACTGTGTCCCATTCCGATTCGCCGCACACACCCAGTCACTAAAAAGTCAAGGTCAGGTCGAACCAACAAAAGAACGAGAAATGCCACTCACTCCAAAGTCTTTTGCAACCCTTCCAATCCAGCCGGACTCCCCGCAGGATTGATCCCAAGCGGTGCACTATCCGTGCCCGTCGGCCACCCAAACTCACCCTGAAACAGCTGTTTAGGCACCCCATCACCATTACTATTACTCGGATTTGCAGGCCACGTCGCGTTCACCATCGGCACCACGATATCCCTCATATAGCTCCAACTAAACCAGCCCGCTTGTGCGAACGTGTTTTGGCTGAACCAAGGGTGGATATTGACGAATAAGTAGTCGGCGGTCGTGACGAGGCCGTCGAGGAATGTACCGGCGGCGTCGGAGGTGCCTACTGGGATGGAGGTAAAGTTCATCTCGGAGGGGGAGAGTGCGCGGCGGGTGAGGGTGTTGAATGGAGAGATGTAAGGTGCTGCTGAGCGCGCGGCGAGGGCGGTGGTCGGTAAGGCTGTGGGTGTCGAAATGGTAAGAGAGGATAAACTTGAAGAGTACTGGGCGGGCGATGCGGTCAGGTCCCGCAAGTGTGCTTTGTAGTCTATGATCCTAGAATTCACCCAGTTGACTGCGTTGGGTATCGAGTCGCCCCTGGATGGGGCGTTCAAGACGTATTCGTTCCCCACGGTGATTCCAGCTATCCGAGAAGTTCCATAAGTGAGCAAGGCAAAGTCCAATAGAGCAACTTGAGAGGTATAAGAAGGGACATCTGGATGTACGTCTAGAGAAAGGTAAGATGCGTTCTGGAAGTGAGTGGGATGACCTACAGATGCCAGCATAAATTTTCATATCGACATTTAAATCTTCTATGGCTTGTAGAATCAAAGCAGTGACGTTACTAGAATAGACAAAGTTGAGCTTGGTTAGCGATAAACAGGAATAGGACGAACCAATCAGCAGCATACAACCTCAGCCTGGTGGTCAATTGACTGAGCTGCATGATATCCTTCTTTATATGATCTTGGTCTGCGGTACAATCGATAGCCCCTCGAGGTGTATAGGCAATCCTAGCAAGAACAGGAAACGTCAGAAATAATGCATCACCGAACAAGTTCGGTACGGAAAAGTCATGCCAGCCACAGAAGAGAGAACAGACGTCATCTACTTCTCTCAAGGAAAAGGGTTTCGTAGTATTGCGAGCGTTCGCCACGGCCACATGCTCGTCCATAAGAACCGTCCTCTCGTAATTACGACAAACACAAGGAAGCCTCGATGCAACACTCACCCCCAAAACGACTTGTGCAATCTAGAGTCAGTCGGGAACGATGGTCCTTCTCCTGATCCATTATTACCCCCTCCGTTCCCCCCTCCGCTCCCTGTACTCCCTGTGCCGCCATCCGAATCACCTTTTCGGGAGCCGACGACCGCTCCAACGATGATAGCTGCGTTACGGAGGGATAGATTGTCAGCATATCTGGTATGTCCACCCCACAGAAAGGTTAAATAGACGAAGCGAATGAAAGCAGGGAAGAGGCGTATGACGGATTTGGCATAGGGTGCGGCGCACGAGCTCCATAAAAAGTAAAGTCCTCGATAAATCAGCCAATCCACCCCTCGTTCTCGTTCCACCAACTCGAAGAAAACGAAAATATTCAGCTTTGAACTCACCGATGAGGATTAGACACGCGACGACAATGTAGGCTGCGACGCGGTACCACCACGTCCGTCGACTCGAGCTGCTACTCGGCTTCGCCCTGGTGTACACCTCGCCAATCTTTTCGTTGACCACCAGTACTGCATCGTGAAAGATGCTGCTCTTCACCGTTGGAGCTCCGTTTCTCGTCGTAGGGGCCGCGACGGGAGCTGTCGATCCCATTGACGACAAAATTCTCGCACCGAAGATACGGCCTATCAGCTAGCCCAACGTGCGCACACAACCCGCGACGTGTTAGCCGTCCCTACTCGGATAATTCTTTGAGTTTGTAGGGTGTAGAGTCGAATAAGAAATAGCCAGTAAAGTATGTAGGAGAAATGAGACGAGGATGGGTGAGAAAGCAAGAAAGGTGGCCGAGGTGTCAACAAGCCTGGCCTGGGCGACAAGCCAATACCGCTGGTGATAGCCGGGCTCAGTTCTGGTGGTGAGTGGTTCAAACCCGACCACAATACTCTTCTCTCGAATAAAACCGGGAGAAGAACTGGCTTCAAATGTAAAGGCGAAAAGTGATAGAACGTCGATCCGATGGTCGAGGGCACGCTAGCTGAGGCCAAGCTGCCGAGGTAAAGGCGAAATGTGGAATCGTCAAGAGAAGGACGGGAAAAGCTCACTAGACGTCGATATTGCTTCGTTGGCCGCGAAGAAGGTTACTCTCGGCTGTATATACAATCGTATTGCCAATGTTTTACATATTTTCATTCGAGAGATGCATAAAACATCGAAATTGATTTCGTCGAGGGATGAGATGTAAGAATAGGGACGGTGTGAGAGAGGAGGACAATATAGGGGCCATGACTAACGTCAGGGCTCCTTTCTACCTGACAAGGAATCTCGCTTTTCTCCTGAAATAGAATATTTCTCTCTAAAATCAAAGATAATGCCATTTCGGGGTGTGTTTGAGTGCCATTTTCAGGGTGTACGTGTTTGTTCATGGATATGGACGAGCCAACGGCTCTCATTCTGCGCGGGCAAGGCTTCAGAGCTGTTCACCGAACATCTTGAGAATTTTTCCTGAATAAAATGAGACATATTATGACGATATACCTAGTTTAGGGGCCCCGTACGAGGGTCCACATCTAGGGTCGCTACAAGAGCGCTCGTATAAATTAATAAACACGAATATGGGGACTACTCTAGCTATGACAAATCCATGCTTTCTCCAGCCTCATCTCTTTTTTTTCGGTAGGAGGAGATATGGTTGACAAGCTTGGACATAAATAAGGGATTTGGGGCGAGCAGTCATGATTTGTCGTGAATTGCCGTGAATTGTCGTGAATTGTCGTGACTTGTCTTGAATCATCGTGATTCGTCGTGACGCATAAATGAATATGAGTGATTTCATGTGTGATTATCTGTGACTATATACGTGAAATCAAGCGATTTTTTGGCTACTAGAATTTTAGGGGAATGAAATCACTGCTAGTCATGACGAGTCGTGATATGGGGTCGTGATACAGGTCGTGACTGGCATCGTGAATCGTTGTGACGGCCATTGACAAATCATTAAATTTCACGCAAAGCTACGCGAAATCATTGCTCATCTCATGGATTTTCATTCTAAATCATCTAAAGTCACGACGAATCACGATGATTCAAGACAATTCACGACAATTCACGACAGTTCACGACAAATCATGACTGCTCGCCCCAAATCCCTTATTTATGTCCAAGCTTGTCAACCGTAAGGAGAGGCGTCCCATTCACACTCTCTGTAAGCGATGCCCCGAGTCCTCCTCTGTCGCACCTATCACTACGCGTATGCTAGAATTTTGTACCCTTCAAATAGGAGAATTAGTACTAGGGCACTACCATTTATAACTCCACAAAATTTTGACTTTGTAAAAAGGAATAGGGGGCAAATTTAGGGACTAAACGTATCGAATCACTGATCAGTGGATGATTAGCGCTCCATCCAAGCTAATCATTGATAAAAATGAAAAATGATCAGTGAACAGATTCAAGAAGGATAACTGAAGGTGCTTCACCACTAATAAGGTAGATCTAAGTGCCCAAAATTCAAACCTGCCCCTGGTGTACTCGGTGCTGCGCTGGTACTCGGCCGAGCCCTGCTCTCCATTATATAATAAGGTATCTGTGGGTTCAAGGAGAAAATTATGTGAAATTGGGCACGAATTCTTGGTACTTTCGGACTAAATCTCGCCGCTACCTTCCCCTCGTCAAACTCCATTGAACTTTTGGCTCAAATTCATTATATAACCACCCTCTATATAT